AGGTATCTGATAGTCGAGGATATCGACTATAGCATTTTTTTTTCTTCTTAATACAATTTGGATGGCTGCTTGAATAAAAAGGTTGCATGACTGAAAGAGAAACTAGGTAACTGTTAGCGGCAAATTACTCTCTTAATTCCCAATCTTTATTGCCAATCGTAAAACAAGAATACATTGCTATTTTAAAACATTTTGGCCACTTTATGTATATTTTCTTTTAAACTCCCAAGATTGTATCATACACTTTAATAACAACTTTATTATGCAATACATACTTTTCGTTTCATTTATGCTTATTTGATTTATTTTTTAATGAAAGAAATACTTGATAGGTTTATACAATATATTTTTTGTTTTCTTTAGTTTCATTTTTTGCTTAGATGTGGGTGCCCAGATGCGATTTTAAACGTAAAAAGCGCATATGATCTGGTTTAGAAAAACTCTGTACAGCGGCGCACTCATAAAACTAAGAACACAAATAATAATAACAACAAAATATATAAACAATCGAATTGAATGGAACAATTTGTAGAGGATAGCTGTTTGTATTTGCTCTGCCATTACAGTGAATTGCTTTTTGGAATGCCAACAAAAAATCGAATTGTTCTCTCAATACTTTCGAAGAACTGAGGGCGTATGGTATGGGCTAACAAAAACTTAGTTTAAACGGGGAACAAACATGCGCTTAAAGATAGCAAGAACAAACATCATTGTAAGTGTGATGGAGAAGCAGAGGATCAGGCTGGATATATAGATCCTCTAACGACTCTTATTGTAAGTTAAGGTCTCAGGCTGGCGGCCTGGCTAGAATATTAGTTCTGTGCATGTGCATGGATGACTTGTTGATTGGACCATTTAGGCCTTGCCAGAGATAGGGGCGTCACCATGTTTCTGGAATTCGTTTTGCTTCTCCAGCTCCTTGCCCAGGTATTCCCTGATAAAAACAGAGAGAGAAACAAACGCATATTGAGTACACAGGGAATTTTGATGATAATCTTGGTCATGGAGTGAATACAAATGATATGAGGATCACTGGACCTGAATGCGGATAAGGGGAACGCATGAGAGGATAGGCATTGAAAGTCCATACTAACCAGTTGTGTACCATCAGCTTTTGCACGGCCAGCAGGGCTTCATATCGCACATTGGGATCCTTGTGGCCAAGATGCTGCATCACGATCTGCTTGCCTCCCAGTTGTTCCAAGACGCTACGGAAATAAGATTTAATAATATGATTGTATGTAATATGACTTTAAATCTATATTGTACTCACTGCTTGCCGCGGAGATAGTGACGCACATACTCTCCGATGTCGAAGCAGGCGACGGAAAGGATGATGCCATCATTCGAGGTTTCCAGCAGGTGGACGAGGATACGCAGCAGCTCGTAGTTCTTCTCGTTCAGGCGCTGGGCATTCTCGCGCCAGAACTTGGCCGACTTGTGGACAGGCGACCATTCCAAGCGACCGCTTCGCACCTCTGTGGCGTACTCATCGAAGGAGCTCAGGTCTTGCACCGAGTTCTGGAGCTTCTCGCTCAAGTACTCTACGTCAGATGTAATGTCCTCGTCGTCGAAGCGACGCTGCTCCAGGATGGATAGCTGCTTCAGCACCTTGCACTGGACCATGGCGATGCAATGGTCCTTGGCCACCGAGGAATCCTCAGGCTTCTCGATCAGATTGCGGAAGACCGCGAGGATAATGCGTGTCACCTTCTCCTTGGCACAATCGCTGAGGATATCAGCCAGGATGGGAATCACGCTGAACTTGTTCATCTTGGCGGCCAGCAGGGGATTGAAGGTCAGCACCCACAAGCAAAAGATCAACTGGTATTGCACCTATGAATAAGAAATCGAATTTAAATTGTACCAAACAATTTACGCATTTCAATTTCAAACTCACCTGGAAGTTGACACGGGTCGACAGGATACGGATCAGAGTGCTGATTCCGTCGACTCCCACAAAGGCAAAACGATACTCATCCACGCGGAGCATCATCTGCAGGCACCGAGCCACCGACTGGATGTATTCGTTGTTCTGTTAATGTTAAAAAGGTGCCATTAGTTTTACCCTCGGATTCAATTATAGTTTGATTGGTTAGGTTTGTTAGTTATGACGATATCTGCTGAAATCTATTTTTCGCTAGCTACGACAACGATAATTACTAAAGCTACGTACAAATATACGATATAAAGTGAAAAAGAGAGTGGACAACATTTAAGAGAGATAGAGTTGGTAATGCAACATTATCAATGGGGGTACGAACTGTTCACCTTATGCCATTGGTTTATTTGTGTGTAATTTTTTTTGTTGATTTTTGTGTAGTTTTAACCATCACCTGGGCCTCGAATTACCGTTACACCACACTGATATGCACTGATTCATACACTGCTTCACAACACTGGAGCTAGAGCCTTCGCGCTGGATTTCCTTGCTGTCTTCTTACGCGCTATTAGTTGGGTTAGTAAACAGTTACGAAATAGACTAAGAATTACCACACAAACACACGGATCTCAGTCGAAGAGGCAAGAATAATAAAGGATATGTTGAAGGGGCCTTAAGTAATGTCAGAAGCTACGAAATAGAAGTGTTTCTAAAATTGTGCCAAAATTATTGATCAGTTGATCAAAATAAATTTTACGAATATATTTTATAAGAAAATTCTCAAATGGTTCTTTAACATTTTATAGTTTATGAAACCAAGTTGTTCTACTGGTCACATAAACGAATATATTCATTTTAAAATTCAAGTTATAAAGTGTGACTGAGCTGATCGACTGTGTTCCTTCGTATGACCATAAATTTGTTATAGTTTATTCGTGTTTTTGTGCGGTTTTTTGTGGGTGGGTAAGTGGATGTTTTGGTTTGTTTCGGCGAGTGGATTGCTGAGAGTTTGGTTTTGGGTTTAGTTGTTTGGAATACCGGTATCACACATTTGCCATCCTGCTGCTGGGGATCAGTGCCAACGCCCACCTCGCGATAGCTCTCGTTGGCCCTCTCGGCCAGCTCGTGCTGCTGCTGCAGCTGGGCCAGTGTGGGACTGTACTGGTGGCCATGGTGGTCTTTGTCTTTGCCATGCAGTCCATGCGTGTGCACAAGGATCGTTTGTGTCCGCTTGGCCAGCTGGGCCATCTCTTGCAGATATGCTAAGCCCTACGGGTGGGATCAGAGGTCGAGGGTCGTTGGTTGTGGGGTTGGTTCGTCCACAGACATCGATTCAATCAATTCATAGACGGTAAATTGCATATAAATTAAAATGTTCACAGGGTTCGAGTGTAGCGGAACAAATAAAAACCATAGATGGACAAGAACACAAGGTAAAAACAAACTTATATTCTGGTGCTTAATAGACACATGACAACGATTGCACGTGATGATCGGTAGAAGTGAGGTGGCGAATTATAAATCCAAGATAATATACGGTTTGGATATGGTGTGACTAGATTCTGAGTGCTGATGTATGGCAGAATGTAATAACAAACTCATTGCTTTGACAACCCGTTCGCAGAGATTTCACCAGTATTCACCAAGACGAGGTCAGTTTTGTTTGGTAGTTATTGCTTGGTTTAGTTGGATTAAAATAAAATAAAGGTATTCAATATTGGCAAGACATGCAGAATGCAGATTATTTGGTTTGTTAGCTCTTAATAAATTTAAGTAGTTAATTAAAGTCAGTTATTTGATTTTAAAAGCCAATCGTTAACGGATTAAAGTAAATTTGTATAAGAAATGTTTCTGAAACATTGAAATTTTTTCAACGGGATTGCTGAAGCATAACCTCTATCTTAAGCTATATATTACATGCTGAATGCTAAATGCCTGCCTAGGTAACCAATGCATCATTTACAAAATCTGTTGTACATTTAAATTTGTTTCACTATATACAAGATAAGAATTGAAAACTTTGGGATTTATATTCAGTGCAAGCTTTGCTTAGAAAACTACGTATAGTGGTACAATCTTCTCATGCTCTCCTAGCTTCATAAACAGTTAACAGGCTACATAAACATGCTATCGAAGGGGTTCACCCGATACCATACACAATCAGACTCACATTGGTGGCCAGCTGATCCTTCAGGAACTGCAGATAGAAGTTCAGGTCGGACTTGGGCATGGTCTCATGGCCCCAGCAGGCGAACTTGGCCAGGATGCGCGACGACATGTTGACAATAAAGCCATCCTGACGGTTCAGCAGGTTCAGGAACGGACCCCAGATGCACTGCTTCAGCTTGCCGGCTGTCTCGTGAAACAGATCCACGCGGGAGCGGTCCTCCTGCAGCAGATCGTCGAGCAGCACGAGGATGTATTGGATGGTAGAGTCCTTCGACAGATGCGAAACCAGATTAAGCAGCGTCTTGACCACCTGACTGGAGTTCTGGGCCAAGAAGCTGGCACGTGACTTGTCCAATGCGCTGATTGCCTTGTAGTCCTCCTCGCTGATCATCTGCGACTGCATGTAGGATGCCCAGTTGATCGTCCTGGTGCGGATGTCCGCCGCCTGCTGCTGCAGCACCGAGGTGGCAGCAATCATATCTGGGGGTTACCAGCAAACCAGGTTAATGGGTGAGTTACACACGGGGTGCTGCGCTGGACAGACAACCACCCCACGCACCCACACACTCGCACTTCGATTTTTCGCAAAGGTCGAGGGAGAGGGTTGCGATGAGGGGGAAAACTCACCAATGTTTTCCTCGGGCAAATACAAGGCGGTAGTCATTTTGAGGGCTTTCTTGCGACGACGCTCGGCACACACAAATTCAAGCACAGAATTTATGAAAATCTATCAAATATAAACGAGTGTTTTTCACACTACTGCGACCCAGCACCGAAATTCAGCTGACTGGTCTTGTGACTTTTCTGCAGCCTTCAATCGAATATTCGATATGTGAAAATCGATAGGCCCAGCAGAGCCAAATGCTACCGATAGCTTGGAGCTGCCAACGCGTTTTCTTTACTTGTGGTATTTTAAATTAGAAAAACATATTTGAGATGCATAAAAATATGGATTTGGTTCTCAATTTATTTATTAACAAAAATTTATATTTGCGTGATACTTGAATCTTTTTAAAAAGATTCTGTAACTAGAACGAGGCTTAGTATTTAACTTGTACAAATTCACTTATTTGGCGTTGTTTTGTAAATTAATTATAAAGCAACAAGTAACTTCTACTGAATACAAAGCCCATACTTAGTGTAGAGTTTTATTTACCTTTAAACCAAAAATAGGAGACGCGGAAGTCAAGATAGGCAGTTCCTTTGGTGTTTGGTCATATTCGTTAGAACCGAAAAATACTTTTTGCAATGGGCGCATCTATACGGTTTTTCCCCCGTGTGGATGCGGATGTGAATTTTCAAATCTGAAGCGCGGTAAAAAGCCTTTGAACAGAATTCGCACTTGTGAGGTTTCTCCCCAGTGTGCAACAGGATGTGGCGCCTTAGATACGATGCATTCGTAAAGGACTTGTCGCATTGGCTACACGTGTGCGCCTTCTCGTCGCTGTGGGTCAGCTTGTGCGCATTGAAATGATATATATAGCGAAAGGACTTTGAACATTGCTCACACTTGTGAGGTCGCTCCTTGGAGTGGGATAAAACGTGGACACGCAGGGAATAGGGACGGGCATACGAGTTGGGGCACTCCGGACACTGGTACGGGCGAATCTTTGCGTGACTTAGTAGATGACGACTGCAACCAGAGGAAAACGGATATATCTTGGGACACTCGGGGCATTTGAAAGCCCGGTTTGGAGCAGTTGATGGTGGAGGTCTATCGGTTGAATCTTCTGCGTGGCTTAAAATATGTTCCTTATGCTGCTTTGCATACGCAAAAGTCTTAGGACACTGGGAACACTTGTAACGTTTCCCATGGGATTGGATGTGTAACCTATAGGAGTCCTTGTCCTTCAGATATTTCGGGCAGTAGTTACATTTGTAGGGCATGTAAGTAGTGCTATATGGTTGTGATGGATGCAAATTAGCTTTCGGCTCGATCTCAGCTTGATTCAATGAATGTGGCTTAAAATGCGTTCTGGAAGGATTACTGGATTTGTGGCGCCGTTTATCCTGATGCGTTTGGGCAGATGGGGGGTCATAGTCATCCTCTTCGTAATTGTCTTGTTCAGAGTTGCTAAAATCTGAGCCAGAAAACTTCGATTCTTGGCTACCGTCATCATCTCCCGAATGGGTTAGAATGTGTTGACTAAACTGCGAGGCTTCCGCAAATGATTTTGTGCACATGGAACACTTGAAGCGTAGTCCTCCCCGAGAAGGTAAGTCCGGAATAATAGGGGTTGTATGTAGATCCAATGTTGTTGAAATATAGTTGGGGAGACTGGATTGATTAACTTCATCAAGTTCTATCCTGCAGATGCCTTCCTCGAATGGATCGTTTGATGCTTTGCCGACTGCTTCTAGAAATAGCGCATCGTCCACAGGCTCGTTTTCTATTCGCGATTTCTCGCATTTGATTTTATAGATCTGCTCCTCTTCAAACTTTGGAATGAATCCGAATGCCACCCGAGCGTCTTCCAAGCAAGTTGAGCAGATGCTTTCCGGAAGACAGTCGCCTTTCGCCACTTGGTAGCCACACCACCGGGTAATCATATCCGCAATGGAAATTTCTGGGTACAGTGTACCATCGAATATGTTGATCATGTCTCCTTCCTGCTGAAGGCAAACCCGGCAAACCGCATCCTCCTCCATTTTTCTAAACAAATAAATGCAACTTAATTTAAGGCTGTGCTATTTATTGGTTATTACTTAATTTCCAATGTACTTTAATTTCAAGTTACCATCAATCCAGCGTGACCATGATTTAACTATAATAACAATCCCTAAAATGTTTAGAGTGGTAACAATGTTTTGGTATTTTTGATGGCTTGTTAATTTTTCCATTTCTTAGAATGCAGTTTAAGTTTGCTTGCAAAAGAAAGCGCTGCTCGTTTAAAAATGTGAATTTCACGCCTCTTCCAAGTTGCCAGGATGGAGAACGGTATAAGGGAAGATATACAGGACTATCCGTGGAGATAGTTGATCCCGAACAGGCGAAATCCCTGTACGACAATGGTTGTTTTGGCAAGGGAAGCAAATCTCGCGGAGGACCGGCAAGTGGAGACGAGGACGAAACTCTTCTCCTGGGAATGGAAGAGTCCTGTTTCCTGGCCCACTATTTGAATGTTCTAGACATAACCAACTCAGCCGGCTGCTTCATGGACTTCCACATGTTTGTGGAGGTCGCCAAAGAGCAAAATGATACATTCGTTGAGAACTTGGCCAGCTATGTGTATTTGAAGTCCAAGAATTGGGTTATCAAGAGTGGTATTAAGTTCGGCGGTGATTTTCGTAAGTTTTTGACCAGAGAGCTTAAAAATATATCCAATAATTTTCCGCCTTTAAGTTATCTACAAGCAAAGTCCACGCTTGTACCATGCCAGTTTTTTGGTCATTGTGCAAAAGCCTGGTGATTCGGATCACTATCAATCAAAGAACCTAAAAGGTGTCCAACGTGTAGCGGAAACTTCCGATAAGGATGTGCTGCTCCTGACTGTCCAACAACCTAAGAATATAAGCTGTCCCCGGAACTTGCAAGAAGCTACAGTAACAGAGACAATTGTGAGGCGTTTTAATTACTTAACCTTTGTACAAAGCAAACAACAATAAGGAACTACACAAGGATTCTACAACTTCTCCAGCCGGTGCTTCTTGGGTATGCCAGTGCTGCGATAGTCGGCGCGCTCCTGTAGATATATCTGCTTGCATTCCTCCTTGAAGGCTTCGTTTTGATACCACTGGGTGAGGCATTCCTTAAGGGCTGAGTTTTGCTTCCTGCAGGTGGCGACCATCAGAATACTGCTGGCCTTGCAGCACTCCTGGAAGTCGGCCACTTCCTTCGAGCAGAACTCCGTCTTGGCACGATCCCGCATTATCTTGGGTATCAGCACTTCGCGCTCCACCTTGCGCAACCTGGTATCATTTGGATCACCTGGCATGGGAGTATCAGTTAGTGTGCTGATTAAGTTGGATTACTTAGAGGACTCACCAAGTCCATGGGGATTGTGTGGATCCACGGCTGGTTGTTGTTCTAGGCTCATATTGTGTTAAAAATACTATTTATTTTGTGTAACAACTTTTAGTGTGACTGTTCCTAGTGCTTTGGAAAATACTAAGGACATAGAAATACCACAAAGATACTAAAATTAGATTCACCTAATGAGTTTTAAATAAACTAATTTTTAGTTCATTATTCGATTTGTTTAATAACATTGATATTATTAAATGGTCATCTTTACCATTAACCTTGACCGAATGGTCCCAAAACCAAAAGTAATGGACTAAATATATCTGTAAATTGATAGACCACCAATATGTATTAAATTAGCCAAAAATCCAGACGCATTTTATTACAAAACTGAGCATTTTTAATGCTTCCATCAAAACCTAACTAAGCGGCCAGGCTCGCAGCGCTGATTGGCTCTAAATCCCGCACACCATCCTTGTCCACCACGGCGACAGTGAAGTTCTTGAGGTTGACGACCAGGCGCTTCTGGATCTCGGCAATGCACTTCTTGAAGACATCGTAGGCCTCCGCCTGGGTTATGTTGGGGTGCCAGTAGCGATCGTAGATGCTGGACGCGAAGATCGCACCATAGCCATGACCGGCATAATTCACGGGCAGTGCATTGGCCAGATAGTCGATGAATGTGAGTTCCGGACCCTCGTTGGGATCGTACCTTTGGGGGGAGAAAACACATTAGGGACGGAAAGCAAATGGATTAACTGATCTCTAGATCCTTACCCGGCCACAAACATGAAGACTTGGTACGGCGTGCGACTGCGAAGATATTCGGCCAGATTCTTGCGCGTGAAATGCGCCGACGCATGTGGACTCAAATCGTAGCCATTGCGCATCTTGTACAGGGCTATGTTTTTCGAAACGAACTCGGTGAACTGCTCCGTGTCGCCCGATTCGCCAACGGTTGATATAAGCAGGTTATCGGACACCTTGTGGATTTTGTTCTGATCTGCAAAGGGATCCAAGGAGACTCGCGAAATGAGACCCTAGCCGCCAAGAAAATGAGCACCCTTTTGGCTTACCCTCTTTCATCACGATAATGGAGCGGGCGTGGGTGGTGTCTGCCGCCAGCATCACGAAGTCGGGACCCTTGATACCCAGTAGAGTCTCCATGTTGCAATTATACTTATACTTTCGGGTATACAACGAAAATTACAAGTTGTTTGTGAGTTGCCGAATGCGATGACAAGCAAGATAAATGCAGAGTGGCCGTAGGCGTGGCGGCTAAAAACCCGGAAAAATACTACCTGAAAAAATACTCCTTTTTTTTATTTTTTAAAATAATTATATATATTTTTGTTTATTTTTAATATATTTTAATTGTACTCCATTTAGGTGATATTCTATTTTTACAAGTTTGTTTAAAACTGTTTTGAACTTGGCTTATAACTAAAATGTCTTCATTTTAATAATAAGCCATTTTTGTATCCTTCAAATATATTAAAATAAGTACATTTTTGGAATGAAAATATAAAGAACTATAATTATTTTTAAATTTATTATTTTATATTTTAATTTCGCTTACACAACACTTGTTTGAATTTGCGGTATTACTTGGCCACACTGTTTCCTTGTTATCATTTCATTTCACAATTGGTTTACGGAATTCTAACTATAGCTAAGAGCCATGCAGGCACCTCCTCCGGAACACTGTCCTGGCTTGGAAAGCGAGCAGGCGGGCAAGGCCAGCGCCTGTGCGGGCTGCCCCAACCAAGGAGTATGCAGCGATCCCAACAAGAAACTCGAAGATCCCGGCAAGGCCTTGGTGGTCGAATCCATGAAAGATGTCAAGCACAAGCTGCTGATCCTGTCCGGAAAAGGAGGCGTGGGCAAGAGCACGGTGACCAGCTTGCTAACCCGCTATCTGGCCAGGAGTAATCCGGACAGCAACTTCGGCGTCCTTGATATCGACATTTGCGGTCCATCGCAACCGCGGTTGATGGGCGCCTTGGGGGAGAGTGTCCACCAGTCCGGGTACGGTTGGTCACCAGTGGGAATCGAAGACAATGTGTGTCTGATGTCCATCGGATTTCTTCTGGGCTCGGTGGATGATGCCATTATTTGGCGAGGCCCCAAAAAGAATGGCATGATCAGGCAGTTCTTGAGCGAGGTGGACTGGGGAAATCTGGATCTCCTGCTGTTGGACACACCGCCTGGCACATCCGATGAGCACCTGTCCGTTGTTTCCTACCTGAAAGACGACACTAACCCGGAGTCCCTGTGCGCCGTGATGGTGACCACCCCACAGGAGGTGTCACTGCTGGATGTGCGCAAGGAGATAAACTTTTGTAAAAAGCAAAATATCCCCATTGTGGGCGTGATCGAGAATATGAGCAGTTTCCGTTGCGGCAATTGTGGAAATAGCTCCGAAATCTTTCCAGCCAAAACAGGAGGAGCTGCTGCCATGTGCGCTGAAATGGGAATCCCGCTGTTGGGCTCTCTGCCCCTGGATCAACAGATAGCCAAAGCTTGCGATTCTGGCGAGGACATAACGGAGTTTAAAAACGTCACCACTGAGGCGCTGGACGGGATTTGCTCAAAGATTATTGCTAGTTTTAGTTAGGAATGTAATGAAACCACTCAGTTTTGTAATAAAGAAAAATGCCTGTTTTAATGTTTTATGTAACATATCAATTGTTAAGACCAATTCGCCTTAGGTCATAAAACTACGTCCCGGTCTCCACCAGCAATTAGATTATGAGGCAGTTTACAACATGCCCGTTTACGGGATAAGAAAACATTTTACAATATTATAGTAGGTTAGAGTTAAACATTTAGCATAGGTGGGGAAGTGGGCGGGCTAGCGAGGGACACATCCGTTGTTATTTTTTCCGTGGCAGTTGACGGTTCAGCAGCAACATCAGTGGCGGCCCTTTCCACATTTTCCGCGAATGTTGTGTTCCTTCCCGTACTTTCCAAGGGCGGCGCAAATGTCGTCTCCCTTCCCAACTCATTAATCAAGCGGATTATTTGTTCTGACGGCCGGTCTTGATTATCCTCTGTCTGGCTAACGTCTTGGTTCTCCGAAGCTATCGTGTTATCCTCCTCAATCGATCCACCAACTTGCTGACTGTTTGCGACCACCGGCTGTTGAGTGGGCAGCGCAGGCGGATAGTTTAACATAGTGATGCAGTCCGTACAATCGCTGACCTTGTATATGCCCACCAGGAAGTTAGCCAGCTCAAACATGTTAACACGAAGTGAAACAATTATGAACTGAGCGTTTTTCGTACGTTCCTAAGTGAATACAACAATTGGCGTTAAAATGTGAAAATAAGACAAGAACACACATATGGATATTTACCTTAATATAGTGCCCCACTATAGAAACATTCTTAAAATCCAGCGCCGCATCGATTTCGTCCATGAAGTACAGCGGAGATGGCTTGTAATAATGAAGGGCAAACACAAGTGCCAGTGACGAAAGTGTTTTCTCACCACCTGACAGATTCGAGATGTATTTCCAGCTTTTTTTCGGCGGTCGCACCGTAAAGTTCACGCCCTCGGTGAAGGGATCCATGGAGTCCACCAGCTCCAGTTCAGCATCACCGCCCAGAGTGATCATCTGGTACATTTCCTTTAGTTTCCTCGTTATGATGGTGAAGCCATCCATGAACTCCTTGTACCGTCGCTTGCGCACCTCCTCGTACTTGTCGCGCATCTCATTTCGCTTGGAGGTGATGTCTTCTAGCACACGGACGCGGTCGAGATAGACTAAGCGCTTTTCGTTGAACTCCTTAATGCATCCCAAGTTGGGCTTCTTTGTTTTCAGATCTTCCTCCAGCATAGTTTGCTTATATTGTAAGGCTTCCAGAGTCTCTGCCTCCAGTTCTTCATCGTTGAGTTCTTTGAGTGGCGCTAGTGGTTCGGTCTCTCCAGGAATATCGTTGAGCTTCAAAGGTGTCAGTTGAGCTTGCCATCCGGGAATGTCGGTCTTCACCTTGTTCATTTTTCCCGCTGCCGCTTGTAACTTAGTGTCTATTTCGATGCGCTCGATACTTCTTTTGTTCTCCTGCTTGGTGATCTCATCTATTTCTTTTTTTATATCGGAGGATTGCGATTTGGCGCCCTCAATGGACGCTTCCGATTCCTGGATTTCCTTTTCCAGTTCCTCTTTCTTTTCCTGAGCCTTTTGTCGATCCTCATTCAACAATTTCAATTTTTCTTCTGCAGCTTTTATGTTCTCACGAAGATTATTATTATTTCCAGTGATTTTCGTGATATTTCGATCTGCTGTGGCCAAGGCGACATTCAACGAGCGCACATTGGCAGCCAGCTTTTCGATCTGGTTGTTTACCTTCTTGATCTTGGCCTCTACCGGCTTGACATTTTCGTTTCTAAGGGTATCGTACTGGTTCTGGATTTCTTCGATTTGGCTGGAGACAGCCTGTTCAGCGAATTGAGCCTGTTCCAGCTCTTGCTTTGCTGCATCTATTTGCTCCTCCCGTTCCTTGACGGCCTTTTCGTCTGTTGTTTTCTGGAGCATTCGCTGGCGCTGCGCCTCGCATTGCTTCAGGTTGCTGGTCATCTGTTGCTCCAGGGAAGTAATGCTCACCGCCAGCCGCTTATATTCCGCCTCGTCACGCTGCAAGCCATTTTTCAGGGTTTGAATCTCGCGCTCAAGACTGCCCTGCTGCTCCTGGCAGTAATTGACGCGGGCCTGTAGCTCCTCCGCCTGAATTTGCATTTCTTCTAAAGCCTTTTGAGACATTTGCGAGCTGTCACCCGATTCTACCGTCTTGGTGCGCACCTGGGTGCCCATTTTACCGCGTATTGGACGATTGCCGCCACCAGACATGGTTCCCGTCATCTCGATCATCTCACCACGTAAGGTAACAACTCTGTAGCGTTCCCTGCCGTAGGCGATGCGGGTGCCCTGTTCTAGATCCTCGCCCACCAGTGTGTTCCGCAGGGCGAAAAAGAAAGCGGTTCTTACGCGGTCATCTTCAACCTTAACCAGATCGTACAATCTGGGAACGTTTTCTGGGCTGCAATAGCAAGTCGATGCTGTAAATACCAGACTTTTCCATTCACAAATGCTGTTACTTACGTATTTATCCTGGAGTTGGCTTCATGACGCAGGTGCTCAATCTTGTCCAACGTAATAAAGGTGGCTCTGCCCACATTGTACTCCTTTAGAGCACCAATGGCCGCCGATGCTGTATCATAGTTGTCCGTAACAATGTTGTCCAAGCGACCACAGGCAGTTGAAATAGCGATGTCGTACTTCGCATCTATGCCACCCAAGTCTCCCAGGCGCCCTAGAATACCAGGTATCTTTCCCTCTCTCTTCATACCCATGAGGAAGTCTAGGACCTTGTTATTGGAGCGCTGAGCCTGCATGACGGTAGACCTTTCATTAATCTGTCGGGAAAGGTATTTATTAATATAAATGATCAGGAAAACACATTAAAGAATGTAGATTAATATACATTACCTCTGTTCTTAGTTTGTTGCACTGCATGGATAGGTTGCGCTCCTCTTTCACCATTTTATCCACCTCCGCGGTCTTGCTGGCTATTTCGGTCTTCACGCGTGGAATGCTTTTTTTCAGCTCATCCACCCTTGTTACTTTCTCTTCGAGACTTTTCTGCGACTGCTCGTAAGAGCTCTTCAGCGTTTCATATTTCCTAGACTCAGTGGTCTCTGCCTGTTTAAGGATCTTGAGCTGCGACTCGAACACTTGCAGCTCTCCTTTGGCCGCATTGACCTTCTCCTTCAGGCCGACCAAATCGTCACTGAGCTTCAGGCGCTTCTCGGTAAGCGGTGCAGTGGTTTTACTTAACTCGGCCTGCTGCTTTTCAAGCTCCTCACTCAATGTCACCTTATTCTTTTCCAGGCTCTCCAATTTTTTGTTGGAGTCCTCGATCTCGCGCTGATTTTTCTCCGGCAATTTGTGCAGATCCTCCAGCTCCTTCTCGTTCTTTTCTATCTGGGTTTTGTCCTTCTTGCGCTGCTTGTTTGTGTTCTCCATTGTGCTTTGAATCTCAGTGTGGGCACTCTCTATAGTCACAAGTCTTTTTTTTAACTGTTCGCGCTTTTTCACTAAAGCTTCGTAGGCTCTGAAATTTGGTAATGTAATATTATGAAACACATCGCAGTGTTGGCGAAGTTAAGTACTCACTCAATTTCCTTTCGGATGATATTTTCCTTTTCGGCTCGCGATTCTTTTAGGGCAACTGTGCCCTCGTCGTGGGTTTTAAGCTCCTCCACACAGGCTTCGTGTTCCTGGGTGTACTGCTCCAGCTTGCTCTTTTTGATGCTGATGATCTTTTGGATGTGAAAGGATTTGGTGCGCACCAGCTCATTCTCCTTCTTCAGATAGTCGACGGCCTCATTGAAGGGCTGTTCCAGATCTTTCATCTCGCGCTCGGCCAGCTTGCAGCGGTTGTGCTTCTCTGTTCGGTCGTCTGTAAGTTGATCTACCCGTTGGTTAATCTGCTGCAGTGGGCGAATGTAGCGCTGGGTGCCGACAATATCCTCCAGGTATTCCAACATCCCAGTCTCATTTTCCGTTTGCCCCTTTGGCTTCATCATGGCAATGGACTCCACTTCCCCCTGCAGGATGAGAAAGCGATTGTGCTCCAGATCTACATGGTGCTTCTTGAGCAATTTAGCCACATCCTTGAGCTGGGCCCGCTTGTCGTTGATCTGGTAGTAGGAAGAGTTGTCTGACATGGCTGTGCGTTCGATGACAATACTAGAGTTCGGCACGTCCTCACATGTGCCGTTGCCCTTGTCGACGATCTGCTTGAAGTGGACGGCGACCGAACAGCTCCGAAGATTGGGGAAACTGGACGAGGAGTGGATCAAGGTCGAGACACGCTTGCAACGGATGCGATTGGCGCGGCAGCCAAACACAAACATCATGGAGTCGATCACGTTGCTCTTGCCGCTGCCGTTGGGTCCAATGATGGCAGTGAAGCTCTGATGGAACGGACCCAGCTCCACTTCGCCCGCATAGCTCTTGAAATTCCGATTCACAATCTTGGAGATGATCAGGCGCGGTCCGGTGCTCTCCATGGAGCAATGCGGCGGCACCGGTGGCGGAATGTATATGTCGCCGATGCGGGTGCCGCCCTCCTCGTCGTCGAAGATCAGTGCATCATCCAGTGCGTCCACGGCGGCGTCCTCCTCCTCCTGTTTCTGTTGGGCCCGCAATTGCTGCTGGGCAGTTAGCTGTGGTACCCGGAACTGACCGCTCTGCCGGGGTCCGCCAGCTGCCTTGGGCGTGCCCTTGCTGGGACGCGACTTCTGCATCGTGTGGTCGTCTCAGTAAATTCTCCGAGGGCAGTTATCCAGGAATGATCCTCGAATAACAAAATTCAGTTTTCGGGCGCCAATGGAAATAGGACGCTACTCGCAGTGTGACCGTCTTGATATGTCCGAAAAATACTTCAATAGCACGGCGAGACAGCAAGACCGGTTGGCAGCTCCGCTGTTTGAATTTAAATTAAAAGTCGTTACGTCGGCGTTAAGAACAATTTAAATTTGAGAAATGGATATGGAAATGCAAGTGCTTTTGTTTTTTATTAGTCATTATTAAAATCAGCTTAAAACGCCTAGGGGTTTAATAAATATGTAGTTTTCTCGATCGATGGCGTTCTGGGAACATTAACATACATCTATAGTGAATGAAATCAATTGTATAATAGCCAAGCAAGCTAATTAACCACCAAGCACGATGAACAACTAAGCAAACTGATGATTTAGAGGCGCGCCACTTCGCCTCTCAAACATAAACAAGACACCCGCTGCGAAGAGCTTTCTCTCCGCTAACCGCAAGTAAGAGAAATGCCCAAATATATAATGCCTTGTCCGCATCTCGCACGACTTTAGTCACAATTCGACTTTGGCTCGGTGCGGTACCATTTCCACTCGCGATTTTCCCCCGATTTTCCGAACGCGCGTATGATAAACGCGCTCGAAGCAGCAGGCAGAAATATTGGACACACCAGTGGCAAAGTGGAAAGCAGGCTGAAAAATGCTCTGCCCGGGGGAAAACGGACATAATGTAAATTGCCAAACGGGTTTCACAGTCAAGGTCGTCGCTTCCGCCCAGCGACGCTGGAAGCCACCATCAGCGCGAAGCCCCCACGCCCACCGCTTACCCAGTTTGTCCATCTTGATGGTGGTGGCGATTATGATTATGTCGTCTTCGCTGGACGCCCTGGTCATTGGTAATTTCTCCCCTTTTGTTCGGTTTTCGATTGGATTCGGCTGCGTGTCTTGCCTTTATTTCGAATCTATTTAGTTTTTGGCATGCGCATGCGCGCACATTGGGTGTGAAAGTTGTCGATCGAATCGAAGGAGTTATATAACACAAAACGGGGAGCCGAGTGGGGCCGAGTCGTGTTGTCCCCATGTCCGCACCTGGCGCCCCTCCCGAACCCACCGAAAAAAGAGCGTGTGCATTGAACCCCATGACAGTTGCTGAAATTTTCCTGACCCGCTGCCTTGGCCTCTCTGGCCAGCGGAGATGATAAATTTACTTTCTAAATGCTGCAACTGCCCAGCTGCCCCAGCTAGACATTCAGCTAGAGCTGCAGACTGAGATGGAGATGAAGATTGGGATTGAGATTGAGATACACACACGGACTGCCAGTCAGTCGGACTATCTGCCATATATCTACACATACATATGCACATTCCTCCAATCTCGAATCTAGAGATCGCATCTTGCATTTGGCCAACACGCGTCGCTTGCCCAACCGCCTGAGTTACGATCTGGTGCGGCACGGCTACGGGCCATTGCTGCCAATCCATGATGCAAACGCATTTCAACCAATCCGCCGCAATGTGGCACATGGCTGGGACGCATATCCAAGTGGGTGGAGCTGGCGTAGGTTCCAGAAAGACCCATTACACAAGTGACTTCGGAGGGTTATCGTTATAAATGCGTTGTACTAGTGAATTTGAAAAAGTTATTGTGTTTGCATTGTGCTATGCATATCATAGAGTTTACTCGCCATTCTAGGAATATTTTCAAATATATACTATACACCTGACTAGTGCATATAAATTTGAAAAAAACAATTTTTTAAATTTAAATGGCAAGGTAATTTAATTTTGAGTGCCAGCCAGCTGTACTTCGTGACTAGTTACAGTGTTAGTATTGTTTCCATCACGTTAATATCACGGGGGCAGATCAACTCAGATCAAATTGTGGTTAATATAATGTTAATTGAGGCCTCGGGCAAATCAAAAAGGTCATCGAAATCCAACTCCGCGGATTTTGAGCACTTCTAAGTGAGCAAGTGGTAAACACGTACTTCCTTGAAGTTGGTAAAACTTTTCGATTCAATCGGAGGAGCGACGTGGTTTTTGTCGTGTTGCTCTATAATAGTTGACTGCTATTGGCAACTATGTAACGCCCATTCCAGTGCGTGATTGGTATCCAGCCAAAAAAAGAAATATTGCTGCAACTGGCTAATTTTGGGTTGACGTGAGGGGTTTCGCTTTTTGGGTCAATGCATTAATTAGTCTCCTTGTTAATTACACACGGCTATCTCACACCCAGTTTTTGTGTGCCTGCTTTGCAGACAATGATGGAATAATCAGTAACCAGACTCGACATCGTCGCTCGACCTCCGGCGCAGCCAGTTGCATGCAAGATGCACGTTTCTATCGGAACCCCAACAGGCCGGTCCACAAGATCTGGACGAACAGCGAGTGCGCCAAGTATTTTCTCTGCCTCGATGGCGAGGTGTTCGAGTTCAAGTGCTCCGAGGGCCTGCTCTTCGATGTGGTGCGCCAGATCTGTGACTTCAAGGCGAATGTGGACAATTGCGATGTCAGCGCAGAGACGCCGGCTCCAAAGCCACTGCTGGAGATGGCCGACTGTGCTGATGAGTACCAGTTGGGTTGCGCCGATGGCACCTGCCTGCCTCAGGAGTACTTTTGCGATGGATCGGTGGACTGTCCCGACGGCTCCGACGAAGGTTGGTGTGACGTGGAGCACGATCCGAATGCGGCTGGGGCCTGTGATCCGCGAAAGTGTCAGTTGCCTCAGTGTTTCTGCTCGAAGGATGGCACCCAGATACCTGGCAGCCTTACAGCACACAGCGTTCCCCAGATGATCCTGCTGACCTTCGACGATGCCATCAATCACGACAATTGGGAGCTGTTCTCCAAGGTGTTGTTCACACAGAACAGGAGAAACCCCAACGGGTGTCCCATAAAGGGCACATTCTATGTTTCGCACCCCTTCACCAACTATCAGTATGTGCAGAAGCTTTGGAACGATGGTCACGAGATCGCAGTGCACTCTGTAACGTAAGTTGATCAGCCTGTAGATAACTTGGAATTATAATTTCACCTTAACTGTTCGACCGTAGGCATCGCGGCCCAGAGATGTGGTGGTCCAAGAATGCCACGATTGAGGACTGGTTTGATGAGATGGTTGGCCAGGCGAATATCATCAATAAGTTTGCAGCGGTTCGAATGGAGGAGATCCGTGGGATGAGAGTACCCTTTCTGCGCGTCGGCTGGAATCGGCAGTTCCTGATGATGAAGGAGTTTGGCTTCGTGTACGATTCATCCATGGTGGCACCGCATTCGAATCCACCGCTCTGGCCCTACACCTTGGACTACAAGATGCCGCACAGCTGCACGGGCGTGAATCAGAATTGCCCGTCTAGGAGTTATCCGGGCATTTGGGAGCTGGTGATGAACCAACTGGAAGCGGGTGAATATATGTGCGGCATGGTGGACAGCTGTCCGCCGCACTTGAGCGGCGAGGATGTCTACAGAATGCTGACGCACAACTTCAAGAGGCACTACCTCAGCAATAGGGCACCGTTTGGCCTGTACTTCCACTCCACTTGGTTCAAGAAAGTCGACTATCTGAATGCATTTCTGGTGACTATTTTATTTGACTGCCATCATACTAGATCTTTATTCCTCTTTGACCATTTAGAAATTCCTCGACGATCTGCAAAAGCTGCCGGACGTGTTCTTTGTGACTAATCAGCAGGCTATTCAGTGGATGCGTCATCCTACGCCCACCAATCAACTGCACCAATTTGAGTCCTGGCACTGCCAGCCCAAGGATTTGGATCCCCACGAGCAGGTCTGCAACTCGCCGAATGTGTGCAAGGTGCGAAGCCGGGTGCTGCAGGAGGATCGCTTCTTCTACACTTGCATGGATTGTCCTGCCCAGTATCCCTGGATACGCAACGAGTTCGGCCTGGACTAAGGTGATAGCCCGCTGACACTAAAGAGCTCTGCGCAAGGCGCTTGACATATCCATAATATTCAGAGCACAACATTTACATACAGGCTAGTTTCCAAGTTGGATGAGTTTGGAAAAATATGGAATACTCGTGCACAATTCAATATTGTGTAGTTAATTATTATTTAAGAACAAATTATCTAAAGATTTGTACAAATCGGTAAGATTAATGCAATTTTAGGCTTTCATTCTTTAGAAAAACTAATATTTATCAATTGGATTAAGTATATTTAGACAATTCAGCTTTCAAAATCCCATTATAAGCAAAGCCGTCGATAATTTCGTAACATACCTGACAAGGATAAAGTGCATACACTTAAAATCGGAACAATCAGAATATTATGGAGAAGCTTAAACACTTTCGCGGGCTTAAAATCGTGGTTCTTGCGGCCTGATTAGATATTAAGAACTTATTTATATGTCTCCGCTTAATATATTTAAACCGATTTCCAAGAGCTTTGTACTTAGTCTATATCCTGGACCGCATCCCAGCCGCAAGTGCCTCGACTATTGCGTTATAAACGGATTGGCGATGCTCTCCACTCCGTCTTGTGGACAAATGAGGACCAGGGCTGTGCCGCGACAGACGACCAGTCCCAGGCTGCGGGTCTGTTCCTCGGTCAGTTTGTAGGGCTCATCCGAATCGCGCAGATACTCCACCGTGTTGTCCAGCACCAGATTTAGCAGCGCATCGTAGCCTTTCAGGATTCCGGATGCCTCGCGGCCGCCCGCGAATTTCACGCGGATCTGTTTCTCGAGGTACTTGGAGAGGTCCAGAATGGACTCTTTGCGACGCTTCTCCTTGCCGTCATTGTTGCCGCCCACCTGCCAGGTCACGATTATGATGATTAAGTGCCGAAATGTAGTTATTTCATTCCATTTACCTTTTTATCTGCCATTATTCTGTCTTATTTTATTTTATTTGTGGTAAATGCCGGCTGGTGAAGAGTGACCGAAGCGCACTTCCCCAGAAATATGCCAAAATAATGCGCTACTAACCAACAGAGGGCGCTGGCAAAAAAAATGTATTTGATTATTTGATTTTATTTTTAATATTCTTTTGATAAAATGGCAATAAAGACCAATATAAACTTATGAATCTCTCTAAATGTATTTGTTTGAGAACATAGTTTCTTTATTTTTACTGCCATTTTGTTACGTTTTACTATTGAAGCGCTTTCTTTTTGTTTCTATAATAATTATTTTGCATAAATATATCGATATAGTGCATATATCGATGTCCTCACACCATCTGGTCACTCTGACTGGCTCTCCATTTTGTTTTCCACGACAGAGCAATTTTTGGTACATCGAATTGCTTTTTTTTCCGATTACCGGAGCGTTTTTGTAAATTTAAGTGTTTTAAAGCCGCCTTAGGATCATGGGACGCAAGAAGAAGAAGGCCTCCAAACCCTGGTGCTGGTATCCTTTTCGCAAAACAAACCAATATTTTTTCACTGCATGTGCCGCCCGCTGTATCTGCACATACACTCACATTTATATAATGGTATTGGGTTGGGGGGGAGATACATACACACATATTGGCTACAACGCCGCATCCTCGGGAATTTTCCTTAACTCTTAACGCTAAAACTAGGTACTGCAACCGTGAGTTCGATGACGAAAAGATTCTTGTGCAACACCAGAAGGCCAAGCACTTCAAGTGCCACATCTGCCACAAGAAGTTGTACACCGGACCCGGACTCTCAATACACTGCATGCAGGTGCACAAGGAGACGGTGGACAAGGTCCCCAACTCGCTGCCCAATCGCTCAAATATTGAAATCGAAATCTTCGGCATGGATGGCATTCCCGCCGAGGATCTCAGGGATCACGAACGCCAAAAGAATGGCGGAAAGTCTGACTCGGACGACGATGAACCGGTGGCCAAAAAGAAAGTGGAATGTAAGTGGCTAGCGATACGTATGTAGACAAAATCGCTATACAACATTAATTACAGATGCCATGAGCGTACCGCCGCCTATGATGATGCCTCCGAACATGATGCCACCGCACATGCTGGGGCAGTATGGCATGGGCATGATGCAGCACTTGCCGCCGCTGCCTCCGTATCCAGTGCCCATGATGCCGCACATGATGCCTCCGCGTCCTCTGTTTCCAGCCGCCATGGCCACCACATCGGCGGCAGCTGCTGCGGCGGCGGCCCATCATCACCACGCTGCCGCCATGGCTCAACAAAAGCCAACATTTCCAGCGTACAGGTTAGCATCGATGGGGGAAGACCTTATTAGAATCCTGCCAGATTTTAATTTTTCTAGACACAATTTAAATTTAGAGCCCTGCTAATATTCTTTCTTTTGAATTTGTATATAGATTCAATTTTGTGGGGGAAATTTTAAGTGCTTATTTGTTGCTTTTATCTAGTAGCATTTTTTTACAGGAGTAAACCCTAAATAATGGCATATCTTAAATGGTTTCTCCCTACTAAACACAGTCCTGAAACAAGTCAAACGACTTATTATTAGGCTAAAATCGCAGAATTTGTTTTAAACTAACGTATCCCTTTTATTTTTCCTTTTTGCTAAAGTAATGCTACCATAAGTGCTCCGCCAACCACCAATCATGCTGGTGGCACATCCAGCGCGCCACCAAGTGGTCCGCCCGATGCTCAGCAACACCAGCAGCGACCCCCGGCTCCACCGGCGGCAAGCGGAACTTCCGGTGCTGCTGTAACCACCAAGATTATGCATCCGCAGGACGATCTAAGTCTGGAAGAATTGCGCGCTCGCCAACCGAAAATACAAGCACGATTGGCGGCCGCTTTGGCTTCCCTGGCGAATCCACAAAGTCGGAAGAGTCCCAGCAACAATGGTGGCTCCTCCACATCGATGCCCGCCACTCCGCCGCCGCCGTCGCTGGCCGGGATCTCGCCCACGGGCAGCAATAGCAGCAGTGGCATGGCTAACTCCATTATCGTCTCCACAGCCATGTCGAAGGCCCAGGAAGTGAGTTCTTATCATAGTTATAGAAACCATAGTCAATATAAATGAACAGACCGCGACGGAATCGACTTCCACTGATTAACAGGAAATAACAAACACAACGGACTGAAACGAGGACGTGTAAAAAAGACAATTTCCTCCAAAACGAAAAATAAATGATGTAATTGCACATACGAAACCTGACCCAATATCGACTGCATTTTGCATTCTAAGAGAATTCCATTTTTCCAAACTGGACACTTTTATACAATACAATTACATTTTGCGCAGTTCGCCAAACGCGGCAGCGTAAGTTACGTTTACATGACCACAGCATACGAGAGCAAACAGATTACCAGAATTACACAGTACGAAACAAAATTAAAAGAAAAGAATACTTTTTTTAGCATATAGTATGATATATGTCTGTACAATTTTTAATTAAAAAAGAAATTAATGGCAACAAAACAAACGAAACGGCGGTTTTCAATTTAATTAATTTGATATAAAGCATCTTACCACAAAGCATAGAGAACTCGATAGAAGGGAAAAGCAAGGTTTCACGTTGTTTTGGCCCTAACCGTAGTCTCCATAAATCTGATATGCCAACACATGTGCCAGCTTTCCTTGTACTGTATTTTAAAAGTACATCGCAAGCAGCTGAAAAGCAATTCACAAACCCACTGATAAGTAGTGAAGTTTCTTATAGCGGGTGGGCTGATTTAATTTTATCTTACGGGCAGATTTAGAGCGAGTTTGCTTAGTAAATGTTAGATCCATACACTTTTAAATTAAAGAATCTAAAATTAGGCGATTTCTTTATTTAATTCCTCTATCCACTAATGTCCGTCCAATTTTGTTAGTTCAGCAGCTTAGAAGCTGAATTTTTTCTTTATTTTTTGGGTTCAGCCCCATTCAGCAAATTTTTTGAAAGGCCTAAGAAAATTATTTGTTACCACGATATGTACAAAAAGAACTAACTCAGTCAGGATACATTTTTTTTTGGGTTGACCCCGAAACTACTCCCTCCCAGTGGCACGTGAGATAAATTCAATCGATTCCCAAAATTTTCTTGCAGAACGCCGCTCTAGTAGCCGTGGCACAGGCGCAGGCACACGCACACGCACATGCTGCCCAGGTACAGGCCCAAGCTCAAGCCCAGGCCGTGGTCCAAGCTCAGGTGCAAGCCGCCCAAGTGGCACACGCTGTGGCAGCACAGCAGCAGGCGGTACAGCAGCAACAGGCGGCACAGCAGCAGCAGCAAGCCGCGGTGCAACAGCAGGCAGCGGTGCAGCAGCAGCAACAGCAACAGGCGGCGGTGCAGCAACAGCAGGCAGCGCAGCAGCAGGTCAAGCAACTGGAGGAACTGAATCGGGCTGTGATGCTCCAGCGCTTTCAGGCTGCCCGACAGCCTGGGAATCCCGGTGCTGCTGCAGCGGCTGCGGCGGCCGCAGCCGTCGGCATGGTAAGTCTCAAATCAAGCGGTGCTGCGTATGCAACGCGAACAAACCAACAAAAGAATGAACTTGACTTAACAATATCGAAATTCCGTGTGCTGAGAATCTCAATCTGTAAAAGACCACAATACAAATACCGATCTTGTGTCCTAGGGTGGTAACATAAAGCCAACGACAGCATTTTAGAGTGGGTTAACCCAATATAGCTTAGAGCTTCGCCCTCATCATCATGCTGATCACCTACTAGCTAATGTTTTTCGTGATTAGTTGGGAGTCCTAAATTTAAAATAACCTTCAAGTGAGATAATCTATGGTTAATAAAACCATAACCGCACACTCATAAAACTAATCTCAAATTTATGTGGAAACCATCGAAATATTAAGCTTGAAGAGATTTCAAATGTTAAAAAAAACATTTAACAAATTTGTGTTTTTGTAAAAAAGGTGTTTTTGAAATTTTCACAAGGTTTCAGTTTTGAACTAAATTTAAATATCTAGGAGTTAAAATTTGCACTATTTAGGCCTAAATTACATTTCCATCAGTGTAAAAAAATCACTTGGCTAACTACAATCGCTTACCAACACTACCGCTTAAAGTTCCCTTTTCTTTTCGATCACATTACTGTTGCCCAGCTTAGAAAGGAAGAAAGGAAGCTCAACTGTCTCAACTAAGTCCTACGCCATGTGTATAAATCTTAACCCTATTATGCTTTTGAACTGGAATATGTGTTAAAGTTACCGTTACAATTGCAGTACAGAGCAGAAGTTCAGTGTTGATAAACGATAAAGTGTTGCAAAAGTGTTGCGCAGGGTCCCAAAAGAGTTACAGTATGTATGGTTTTTGTACAACAGCAAGTTTATCTCTTCCCCCCCAAAACGAACCTAATCACCTCCCTCCAATAAAACTCACACCCCGCAAAATGATATGTGATATACAAAGTGCGCAATGCAACAAGATAAGTAAAAGCCAACAACTCCATTATAATCTTACTTAGTCGTACTTATGCAAGTAATTATGTAGTCTAAGCAAGTACCTACTCTCCTCTATCTATCTCAATCTCACACCCATGCGTATATAATCCACAAGATCAAATCAAGATATAATCCCCCGTCCCCAAAAAGAGTTTCTAGTACGTACTGCCTTGCAAGTAAAACAGAAAACAATGAACATTTACAAATATTATAATGAGTGAAAGAACAGTCGCGAGTTATGATTAAACTATTTTGCAAGCCATGTAAGTACATTTCAATAATTTCTTTTACAAAAAAAAAAAAAAAAAAAAAAAAAAAAAAAAAAAAACGAAACAATTACTTTGAATTTGTCGTAATGGTTGCTGCGTTGGTTGGTTTAATTGATTGATGATTGATTGACTGGTTGATTGATTAATTCATATCCACAAGACATACACTTGAATTAAGTAAGACAACACTCCGCATTGATATGTCTCTATCTCTATTTATATTACCTTGATACTTCACCCAAAAAACAAAACCTGAAAACTACATCATAAGCATACTATCTAAATGTTATATGACCTGTAAATTGTACTACCATATCAGTGTTTTGTGTTTTTTCGATCACGCATCTCTGTCTC